CTAAAGACTACTGCAGCCGTCTAAAGACTACTACACACTGTCTAAACACTACTGCAGCCATTTTAAAGCTGCTGTACACCAGATGAGCTCAGCTGTAGCACTTAGAAAAGCTCCCATTAACATCAGACTAAACCATTTTAACATTTACTCTCTACTGTATAGAACAAAACTTTCAACAACATTTAGTGAATTTTAAGTTTCAAAATAAATTTATAATGCTTCAAGGAATTTTCACGACACCCGATATGTCACAATATTTATGTTTTAGTCAACCAGTAGTGGAACATTTTAAAAATTACTATCAAAACTAAACTTTTTATTCAGTATTTGGTATTAAATGCAGTTTAATAGGACTAATTTTGCTCTCTAGCCTCTACTATCTGTCAGGACTCGCTGATGATCAGCTGTGAGCTGAGTTTGCTTTGTGCTGTGATTACGTGTTTATTTCTGAAGTCTACAGGATCTGAGCGCGGCCTAAAATACTCACAGAACCAGCACACAGATGGGCAGAAAATGACAGAGGGATGAGTGCTGGCACTGAGAGATGGAGGGATGAGTGCTGGCAGTGTTACACGCTGGATGAAGTGTCCTCCACAAACCCTCTGTGTCTATCAGGATGCTAAAAGCTCTCTGACCCGCTGAAACACTGAGTGCTCTAAAGCTGGGCTTCATTTCCAGGACTGATAAAGCCTGGACACGAAAAAACCACCCAAACACAATCACTACTGAATCAAAGAAACACCACTGTAGGACTCGGTTACGCCCATTTACACAAAATTCTAGTAAACTACACTTTATTGTTCTCAAATACACCCAATGGCACTCATTTACAATGAATTCCACTCATTTCCAATTATTTCTGTACATTTTCTTTAAATTCCACTCAATTCTTCCCAATTTACTCCATTTCTGCTCAATTCCACTTTACAAATGTCCATTCACTTCCACCTCTTGTGGCTCAATTCCACTAATTTTCTCCCATTTCTGCTGATTTATACTCATTTTCACTTAATTCCACTCATCGCGATACTTCAAGACATTTTCATGATATTTTTTCAGACATCTGATCAGTTTCGATTGACAAAAAAGAACCAGTAGTGCTACGTTTTAAATACCTTCAAATACAATGATTTTTATTCAGTATTTGGCACTAAATTCAGTTAAACGAGACAAATTTTGCTTTCTTCCCTGCAAAAAATGATGTCTTGTCAAGTAAAATTATCTTAAATGTAGTCTAATATAAATCTAATATTTCTCCTGTTGAGATTGTTGTCAGCTTACTTTTAGATTATTTACCTTATTTCTTGTTTTTTATTACTTACAAAATTATCTGCCAGCATAGTGAGATAATTTTATTCAATAAAATTACCTAAAACAAGTAAATAATGTCTAGAAATAAGCTAAATAATCTTTTAATCAGTGCACAACCATCTCAAAACGGGAAATAGTATCTAGTAATTAAATCAACTAGATTTAAGATCATTTCACTTGACAAGATACTATTTTTCAGTGTTCATAATAAAAATGCGAGATATGTTTAGAAAAGCATATTAATTTATAACATTATCACAGTAACAATATATACTGTCATATTGCCCAGAGTTTGCTCAGTTCCACATTTGCCCAGTAATCTCCAATTAATTTAACTCATTTCCACTCATTTCTACCAACTGCTGATCGATTCCAACATTTCCGCTAATTTCTGCCCATTTCCACTCAGTTCTACCTGTTTCTGCTCCATTCCTCTCAGTTCTACAGAGGAATACTCATTATTAGAGAGCAGAGCCGAGGCCACTTCCTGTCTGACTGAAGCCGTAGCCGAAAGCTGTGATGTTTTGGTGCTGCAGTGATGGAGAACACAGCAGCTGCTCTCTGTCTCTATCTGTACATAAGAACTACTGGCCTCAGGAGAGAGCGAGAGAGAGAGAGAGGGAGCGAGAGAGAGAGAGAGGGAGAGAGGGAGAGAGAGAGAGAGAGAGACAGAGAGAGAGAGAGAGGGAGAGAGAGAGAGGAGGGAGAGAGAGAGAGAGAGAGAGATGCAGAGTTGCCAGCCTTAAATTTGTGCTTTGACTGACCAATTTGGACTATTTTGTTCACTGATCTCTTATTTGTTGGACATGTTTGCCTTTTCACTGTTATCTCTGTCCATGTTTGTCCTTTGCTTGACCGTCTGTGGTCTGAGGGCATTTTCTGGATGTGTCCCTATCTTCTTAGACTCTCTTCTGAAGTCTCTTCATATAACATGATCCTCATATGTTTCATATCTAAATGCTCCGTTATCTTCATCACTATTTTCCAAAACCGCTGCAGCAGCTTCAGCAGCTGTAAACTCTCTGCAGGCCGTTTCTCATGAGTCTCCGATGTGGACTGAATGAAGAATGAAGGGTTTCCGGCGTGATGGTCAGTCCTTAGTGACTTCCTGAGTGTCCATCGGTCAGTTTCACACAGAATGTAGACGGACACACAAATCCACCAGTTCCACACAGTGAGAGGCAGATGATGGGTATCTGGTCTATCGCTTCGTAGCTGAGCTGTTGTTGCTCCATTTCACAACAATAGCACTTACAGTTGTCTGGGGCAGATCTAGCGGGGCAGAAATTTGACAAACTGACTTGAGGCAGAGGTGACATCCTATAACAGTGCCATGTTTAAAGTCACTGAGCTCTGCAGTGTGACTCATTCTACTGTTCCAGTGTTTGTCTATGGAGACTGCAAGACTATGTGCTTGATTTTATATACCTGTCAGTAATGAGTGTGGCTGAAACACCTGAACTCAATAATTAGGTCCACACACCTTTGTCCATATGTTTGCTCTCCTAACCGTAAGTCTCATTTTCACTGCTCTCCTGGTTCTTTTCTTCTTCTATTGTTTAATGGGTGGTGAAATCCTGCATTAACCTCCTGTAATCGGTCCAAAAGAGTGTTTTCACGCTGCAGACGAACCGAACCATGGTTCAGTTTGACCGAGACCACCGGTCCGGACCGTGGCCCAAGGCACATTTCACACCGGCTATTTTGGTTCAGACCAAACTGAAAAGTCTGAAGGTCAGAACCAAACAAGGTAGGAGTGAAAGCAGCCTTAGATGGTGAAGTCAGGCAAAGTGCATCCAGACAAATGTACTATTAACAGCTCAGTTGTTTAAGGGAGGGAAAAAGACGGTATCAGATGAGTATCAGTGATTAGTATCAGTGATTAGTGTCAGTGATTAGTATCAGTGATTAGTGTCAGTGATTAGTATCAGTGATTAGTATCAGTGATTAGTGTCAGTGATTAGTGTCAGTGATTAGTATCAGTGATTAGTGTCAGTGTCAGCAGATACTCAAGGCTGCAGTATCAGTGTTGGTGTCAGGCATAAAAATGTGGTATCGAGCCACCCCTAATGCTAGCTTGGTTGTATTTATGAGTCTGTAGCTCAGTGGCTAGGCTAGCAGGTTTGGTGTGTGCTGTATTTGCATAATGCATGCTGGGTAATGTAGTAAGAGAACACTGAAGAATGAAAAAATGCAATAACACCACAAGTAACATATCACACTCTAGTTTTAGGCTGGAATGCCTCTTTAAATGGTCTGTAATTTATGGAGAGTTAGCTGGCAACCCTGAGAGAGAGAGAGAGAGAGAGAGAGAGAGAGAGAGAGAGAGAGAGAGAGAGAGAGAGCGAGAGATATGGAGAGAGAGAGAGAGAGAGAGAGCGAGAGAGAGAGAGAGAGAGAGAGAGAGAGAGAGAGAGGGAGAGAGAGAGGAGAGAGAGAGAGGAGCGAGAGAGAGAGCGAGAGAGAGAGAGAGAGAGAGAGAGGGAGCGAGAGATATGGAGAGAGAGAGAGAGCGAGAGAGCGAGAGAGAGAGAGAGAGAGAGAGAGAGAGAGAGAGAGGGAGCGAGAGAGCGAGAGAGCGAGAGAGAGAGAGAGAGAGAGAGAGAGAGAGGAACTGATGCTCAGACACAGAAGCTTTTGTCCTCCTTTATCTCAGCTAACCTACTTCCTTCCTGGACGATGACATCAGAATGACCCTGTTTAACATTCTGTCTCATGAATATTTAATGAGGAGGGAAGACCCTCCATTCTCAGCCTATCAATATTAATAAGCAGAGTGGTTTAGTTTGTAGTGCAGACAGAGGAGAGGGAGGAAAGAGACGCTGCTGTTCAAAAGTTTGAAATCACTGTTTACAGTAATAAAAATCAGGATATGAAATAATATAAATATATAAAATATCAAATAATATCCTGATAAAATGATACAGGATATGAAATAACTCTGATATTCTGGGGCTCTGCAAATTCACAGGCTTTAGATTGTTAGTATTAAACTGTAAATAAAAATAAAGAAAAAGTTCTAATAAAATTCATATGCAGAATTCAATTCTAATAAAATTCATATCCAGACCTAAATTCTAATAAAATTAACATCCAGAATGAAGTTCTAATAAAATGAACACCCAGAGCTAATTTATAATAAAATAAAATCCAGAATAATGTTTTAATAGAATTCATATCCAGAATAAAGTTCTAATAAGATTCATTTCCAGAACGATAGTCCATAAAATTAACATCCAGAATAAAGTTATAGTAAAATTAATATGCAGAATTAAATTCTATTAAAATTTGTATTCAGAATTAAATTAAAATAAGAATTATATCCAGAATAAAGTTCTAATAAAATGTATATCTAGAATGTCTCCTATTTCTAAAGTGGTGATAAAATCTTGAGGCAGATCTGAATAAAAAATATTGACTGTTACAGTATTTATTTATTAACTAATTAATAACTTCTTGTTTCTGCTTTAATACTGAATAAAACGTTTAGTTTGTAATGTCTCCAAAAAAATATCTAAAATGTTATTATTGAATAAAATTTGAGAATTTATTAATAATTGCTGAAAGACTCCAAATTTGTGGTAAAGGTGAGTAAAAAGTTACACAAAGACTCAAATAAACACTGTGAGTGATGTTAACAGTGAGTGACTCTGAATGACCCTGAATGACCCCGAATGACCCTCACTCACCCGTCTGTGTCCTGGAAATTAACGTTGACCTTCTTAGCAGAACCCAGCAACTCTGCACAGAGAGAGAGAGAGAGAGAGAGAGAGAGAGAGAGAGACATTAGATAACAATAAAATAAACATTCTGTCCAGGAAAACTGAATATAACGTTACAGAATATTTCCCTCCTCTATAAACATCTGCTATTATGATTTATAATCAGCTAACACATTAGCCTGAATGCTAACTCCTCTAACTTCAAATTCCATGTTACTGATGATTTTCTAAGTGTAAATAAGTTACAGAGAACTGGATTCTGCGCATTTTAATGAACATTTTTAGACACTATTCCTGTTAATTTGCTGAATTTAACATGCTGGAAAAAATAAAACTAAAAAATGAAACATGAAATGTGCCCTGCGATGGACTGGTGACCTGTCCAGGGTGTATCCTGCCTTCCGCCCAATGCAAAAGTTATGGCACATTTTAGGTTGTGTGTTTAATTTTTTTAAGTTTAATGTTAAATTCAGCAAATAAACAGAAATTGTGCTCTAAGATATGAAAGTACTTGTCATTCTGTAGATTTCAAACACAAACAGAAGTCCAGCTTAATATTTTCTACCTGAATCTATCAATCACCTGTCTAATATAAATGAATTAAGTGAATTTAATTTAACCTTGTTGTGATGTCAGCACTCAAACCTTTCAGGTGTTCAAACCAAAAGAGTTTCAGTTAAACAACGGCTTGGAAAACAAAACTGTCAAACTATTATTTAGACAGAATCTTCACACTTTGATGGACATGCAGATAAATATAGAAGATGAATATGCCTGAAGGATTAGCACAGAGCTGCTTCACGCTAACTAGACCTTTTTGTCTGATGTTACACAACCGAAAAATAGGAGTGCAAATCAAAATTTCAATGCCAGCCAGCGCAACTGCACATGAACTTGTAGCTGATGAATGAAGGACACTTCAGAACATCAATATCTGAAGCAGTGTTACTGATAATCAATGGCCATAGATTTCACAACTACAGTCTCTTTACAGATTAGCGAAGCGGCTAACGCTAACAGCAGTGACAGGAAGGGAGAGAGAGAGAGAAAAGCCTGCCGGTCCCCGAAGGCCACAAACACAGTTAGCACAGTCAAACAGAAGCCCGGGTCAGTGTGGAAGGATGTGGGGGAGGAAACAGCCTCTATTGTTCTTGTGTCCCTCAGGATGAGCTGGATATCAGCACCCACAGCTGATTTACACTCGGTTAGAGCTCAGGATTACAGAAACCTCCTGTCTTTAGTCCTAAGTGAAGATCTGACAGATCAAGATGAGATTTTTCACAAATTCATATTACAGAAGCAAATATTTTCTTAATGTAGGAGTCAAATCTGATCTTACAGCGTCTTATCTCCAGTTAGGAGATCTTAACCTACTCGATCAAAGTTGACAATCAGCTGTCATGTCTGTTTCCTAGCAACCGACCATAAAAACACACAGCAGAAACGTAAACACGTCATCAGAATAATGTTAAAATGTGAGTTACGCTGCCGTTAATGATGTAAAAAAAGGTCAAACAGAACTAAAGTGTGATAAACTGTGAGTAGTGAATACTGTGAGAGCGCCCCCTGCTGTTTATCAGAGCGTCGCCGCTCCCCAGTTTCAGTCTCCATTTCCCAAACGCTTTAGCCGAGCGCGCTAACGTTACTCCTCCTAATAAACAGACACACGTTCAGCTCCGTCTCCTCATTATTCACCACCATCACTGTAATATTTCATCATCAACATTAACACACGAAGGTGATCAGAGGGGCGGTGGAGATCGAGTCTGCAGCGTCTGAGATCTTTAAAATGCAGAGTTACACAGTCACGCGTGATTTTAAAGGGGTGGCCTGAGAGGCCAGTGCCAGAATCCGACTCCCCTTCATGTGCATGCAGGCATACGGACACTTTAGTGAGGGATTGACAAACACTGACTCACCACAAGCAAATATATATATATTTGGGAGGGGTTTCTGATAAAGTGCCCAGTGGGTGGAGCTACAAGAGAGGGGTTTCTGATAAAGTGGCCAGTGGGTGGAGCTGCAAGAGAGGGGTTTCTGGTAAAGTGGCCAGTGGGTGGAGCTACAAGAGAGGGGTTTCTGATAGAGTGGCCAGTGGGTGGAGCTACAACAGAGGGGTTTCTGATAGAGTGGCCAGTGGGTGGAGCTACAAGGGAGGGGTTTCTGAAGAGGGCAGTGGGTGGAGCTACAGAGGGGTTTCTGATAAGTGCCAGTGGGTGACTACGAGGGGGTTTCTGATAGAGTGGCCAGTGGGTGGAGCTACAACAGAGGGGTTTATGATAAAGTGGCCAGTGGGTGGAGCCACAAGGGAGGGCTTTCTGATACAGTGGCCAGTGGGTGGAGCTACAACAGAGGGGTTTCTAATAAAGTGACCAGTGGGTGGAGCTATAAGAGAGGGGTTTCTTAAAAGGTGGCTAGTGGGTGGAGCTATAAGGAGAAGTTTCTTAAAAAGTGGCCAGTGGGTGGAGCTACAAGGGAGGGGTTTCTAATAAAAAGGCCATGAAGTGGCCAGTGGGTGGAGTTATAAGGGAGGGGTTTCCTGATACAGTGGCCAGTGGGTGGAGCGACAACAGAGGGGTTTCTGATACAGTGGCCAGTGGGTGGAGCTATAAGGGAGTCAGGCAGTAAGTGTGAGGTACAATGGTTCTCATGCAGGATGAGTTCAGCATATTTCACAGTATCTGAGAGTTTGTATGTAATATAATCCTTTATTTCTCCCTGACCTTGACGAGGATTTATATTCATATACACTACGATATAAATATATGCTTTCAAATCAACTCCACAGCTCCTGAATGTTGTTATCGTTAATTACGTTGCTGCAGTATCTCTGATGAGCTCTGTGAATCAGCTAATTAGATCTCTTTCTCTCCACACAGCAAGTCTGCATGCAGTGGGATAAAATATGGGTCAGTACAAATAAAGCTCTCAGAAGGGAGCTAAACATTTCACTCCACCGACCCAAACAGCGCAGAACGACACATCAGAGAAACGTAATGGGCTCCGTATTATCATCCATTAGGTGGTACAGAGTGGAGACCGGCCCGGTGGGGGAAAGGCTGGTTCTCTATCAGAATTAATGAGAGATCTCAATAGTGCTCAGCAGGTTTCAGCGAGCTAGCATTTCTGCAGTCGTCTAGTAGAAGCAGTCAGGCAGTGAGTGTGAGGTACAATGGACAGCTGCACTTTCATTACCCACGTACTAAAAATATTAATAGTAACCACGTGACTTCTTTCTTAGCAATATTTGTAAGTATGATGACTCACAGAAACTCATCTGGAGCTCTTCAGTCAGAAACTGACCACTGATGAATGACTAGAAAATTACCAACACAGACTGTACATAAACAGATGAGCTACAGTCTCTAACGCAAGGGGATTTTAATAAAGTGGGGTTTCTGAAAAAATGACCACTGGGTGGCGCAACAAGTGTCAGGTTTCTTATTAAATGGCCAGTGCTATATGGTAGAGCTATAAGGTAGCCAGCTGGTTGAGCAACAAGGGAGGGTTTTCTAATAAAGTGGCCAGTAAGTGGAGCTATAAGGTGGGGTTTCTAATAAAGTGTCCATGGAATGGAGCAACAAGGGAGGGGTTTCTAATAAAATGGCGAGTGGATGGAGCTACGAGGGAGGGGTTTCTAATAAAGTGGCCATTGGGTGGAGCTATAAGGTGGGCGGTTCTAATAAAGTGTCCACTGAATGGAGCACCAAGGCAGGGGCGTTCTAATAAAATGGCCAGTGGATGGAGCTACAAGGGAGGGGTTTCTAATAAATTGGCCAGTATTGGAGCTACAAAGGAGGGGTTTCTAATTAAGTGGCCAGTATGTGGAGCTACAAGGGAGGGGTTTCTGATATAGTGGCCAGTATGTGGAGCTACAAGGGAGGGGTTTCTGATAAAGTGGCCAGTGGATGGAGCTATAAGGGTGGGGTTTTTATAAAGTGGCTAGTGGATGGAACTATAAAGGAGGGGTTTCCAATTAAGTGACCAGTAAGTGAAGCTATAATGTAGAGGTTTTAAATAAAGTGTCTACTGAGTGGAGCTACAAGGGATGGGTTTCTGATAAAGTGGCCAGTGAGTGGACCTACAAGGGAGGGGTTCCTTAAAAAGTGACCAGTGAGTGGAGCTACAAGGGAGGGGTTTCTAATAAAGTGGCCAGTAAGTGGAGGTTGGAAAGGGTCATGCAAAAATTAAATATGACTGTTTTTGGTACTTAAACCCACACAAACATTATGTAAGTAGACTTAAGTAACAACAAAATAAATTACAAGGAAAACATTATGGGCCCTTACGCTAGTAAAGCATTGGGCAGCCCTCGTAGTCTCAGTATAAAAGTCCTAAAAACAGCACCAGTATATCGACGCGCATCTGAAAGGGCCGGCGGATTGTGCAGACTCACACCTGACAGAGCGAGGAGCAGATAAACGTGTCTGAGCGTGAGAGCGTCTCTGGGGGTTTGGGACTGGAGCTGTTTTCAGGCTGATGCTGGAACTTTCAGAAGGAAACAGCCCTAATGGAAAAATCAAAGAGCCAGAAGCAGCTGTGGAGATAGAAACAAGAACAGAAACAATGAGGAGCTGCCTGGAGCTGATTGATTCAGCATATCCAGCCCGAGGAACGTTACGAGGTGAAACGGAGCGACGGCCGTCCTCGCTGACCCGTTCTAAGACTCTGACTCAGACGGTCAGACTTTAAACACAAAATCCGAAACTCTCACTTATTCAGGCTATTTCAACTGTGGCATATTTTTTGTTGCGAGTCTGTTAGTTCTGCGCACATTGATCTGATTGGCTGAAAAGCGTTCTATCCGTGTAGCTGCAGACTTGCATGTGAGTCATTCTGTAGACACCCATATTAGTTTTACTCTAAACTGTTTTTTACTCTACAGGGCGGTTTTGAATATCACCGCTGTCTCACTCTGTGGTTAACAACACTATTTCAAAGCTGATGTGTTTCGTCCTGATTGATCAGAGTTTTTGAATATTCTAATAGTCATGAAATAATTAAAGAGTAAACAGTAGA